AGCCTTCCTACTGATCCCACCACTCCAACAGAAGATATTTTGGTTGGCTCCGTTCTGGAAGATCTGCAATCGCTTACGCGACGAGTACGAAGGGTGTCACTCTCACATTCGCCCTCATCGACGACAACAAGTCCCTCTTCCTCACCTCCTGGAGGAGCAACACCCACTGATGAATCCGCACTTTCTCCGGCTCCCCTTGTCACAACGGCTAGCCCATTCGATCCCTCGGTGACTCCAAGCCGGTTTAAGCGTATTGAACTTGTGTGAAGCTGCATCTGAATGATAATCACAAGAAATGCTTGCCTACCATCCAATGTCTTTGCTGTGCTCGTTAGCGTTCCTTGCTTTGATATCTTCCACCCTCTTTTTCATTTCGAGAATGGCTTACGTTCTCTTCCTCCTTTCTTGTCAGGTAGACGTCGACCTCCTCTTTCGTCGTTTTACTGTTGTTACGGTGTTTGTCTTTATGATAGCACTGTTTTTGTTACAATGCTCACCGGTATCCAGTCATTATTTACTCTTTTCGACTATTTTCTGTACAGACTCCCTTTGTTTCATGGTTGCGATAGCTCGACACCTCCATTTAGTGTAGAGAATCTTGGTGCATATTGACAAACGTGCAAAGCTGTGTATGTATTTTACTTCATCCTGTCGTGGAATTCGGTGTACATTCCGCACGGGTTCCTCTTTTTATCTGTCTCATGTACGCGTCATGTGCATTTAGTGCCTCTTATAAGAATGCGCGCTCATTCGAGGAGAGGGCTTATTTGATTATCAAAACGAAATCTCTCTTCTTGAATGGCTCAGTGCATTCGTTCTGTGACAGGCGTCTATCATCTATTGTGCTCTAATATTTTTTTATTATACCATGACTTTAAGAACCATCTATTGTACATTTAAGAGTTTTCATTTCGTTTCGCCATTTCTCGAATCATATGCTGCATGTTGTTACGATTTTGGGTGAGAAACCACTTTAGAACTGGTCGTTAAGATTCTACAATAGTAATAATCATGTTTTATCCATGCACGAATTTTGTTTCATAGTTTTACATAGTACATTACTCATGTTTCTGTAAATAGTTGTCCATGCAGTACTGCTGCGTTGTGTTCAATTTCAAAGCTATTTTATTTCTAAAAAAACCTTTTTATGGCTTCTCGATGCTTTCAATGTATTGATAGTCCTGCTATGTGTATTTCTGGTTTGAACGTTTCTACTTTATCTTTCAATT